CTGATCTCATGCCTCAAGGCACAGGTACATGATGCCCAGCCTGCAGCCTAGTGAAAATTCCCCTGAGGGCACTGCTGCCCTTAGGGCCATATCCTGCCCCACTCCCTGCTCCATCCCCAAAGTGCCTGCTTGACATCAATGTCCTGTCTTTCTGCCCAAAGGTATCTCCTTTCACAGCCCAGAGCTGCAAAACTGGTGGGCTGCCCAGTGTCCCAAGGCCCAGAGCCTTGGGGACAATATCAGTACCTCAACTTCCTGGACAGACTTCATCAGCTCCAGACCGTCCTGTGCACACCTGGGAAGATCCTTGAGACCTGGACATTGGAACACATCTAGCACCCCAAGGAGCTCCCTCCCTCTAGAGAACCAGGACAGCAGAGCTCAGCGTATCTGTGGGACACGGCTTTCTATCCCTGGCTGCCTCCTGGGAGCCAAGCTTTACTTCTGCCAATGCACAGAACAGAAACTGGCGTCTGCTTATTTGCAGTTGCAAAGTCCCCACACTTGCCTGGTCTCGCGCTCCCAAGGCTCTTCATCCTCCCCCTTTGCCAGTCTAGCTTCATTCCTCACTCCTCCAGGCACTGACTGCTCTGGAACACTCCCCGGCTCCACTGGAATCCGCAGGGCTGCAGAGTGCAGGCTCTGAGCCCTCGCATGGCCACTAATCTTCTCCTGTCACTCTCACCGAACTTGTGCCTTTCTTGGCCTCTCCCCAACACAGGCCTGCAGACCATCTCTGAGGTCAGGCTCTCAGGAATGACCAGCCTTGGGCCTCCACTGCCTCCGGAAAGGAGTCATTTACACAGCGCCTCTCATATTTCAATCATCAGGTTGGCAAAAGTCGAGGGCACCAAACACATCAGGAGCCGCGGTGGGGGACCACCAATAGGATCCTATGCTGCTCCTGGGACTGAGGATTGGTGCCACCTCCTTGGAGACCCACTCAGAGGTGGTTACTCAGTGTTTGACGGCATGTGTGCCTTGGACCCCAAATTCCACTTCCGGGTACCTTTCCTAAGGAAACACAGCTCCTGGCAACAAGGACACTGAAGGAACACTTGAAAACGCTGAAATTGTAAAGGAAAACCAATAAACCTGCACAAGGGTCCTTACGTGTGGAAATAAAGAATCATGTCAGGGAGACCCAGAAGGGCTTGGGCAGCCAAGGTAAGATGGCGAGTGAGGGGGCAGGGCCAGAACAAAGGAACGTGGAGAAGGTCTTCTAATGAAGTCAATTTGCTGGTTGACGAGAAGGGCTTGTGCACACAAGCAGGGGACACAGTGAGACAGACACGTCACACTCACGCTCTTGAGGGGGAATCCAGCAGAAAAAGTAAAACAGACAGGTGGACAGAGGGGGCTCCCATCAATACTAGTGAGGACAGTGTGGACAGGGAGGAGAAAAGGAAAGGAGGAAATGCCAAAGAACACAAAATACAAGCAGAGCCCCCCCCCCACGGATTTCTGGCTCTGGGGCCCCTTTTCTGCAGACAAGTCTATCTCTGTCGCTTTTGCAGTAAACCTGCTGCTTGCTTGCTATCTCTGTGTCCCGCCCTTCAGTTCTTTGCTGAATGCAGACAGTGAACCCATCACCCCTAGAGGATAACGTTGGCACATTCTGGAGAATGCTAGGTAGAAGGTCAAAGTGATGGGACAGTTCTCCAGGAACGCACAGGAAAAGTTCACCCGGACTTCCTGCCAAATGCAAAATCCAAGTTGCCACACTACATGCAGCGTGATCCAGTGTGTTTTACAGCCCCGTGAAACAGAGCCAGGCATTTCCACAGGGGTATTCGGATGTATGTGAACACACGAGTGGAGAATACTTGAGGAAACACACCAGGCTGAAGGTGAGGGGGCTGGTGATGGAGTGGGATGGAGGAGGGACACCACCGTTTTATCTGTGTTCTTTAGTGGTGTTCGGGGAGATTGTGTGCAGGGATTATTTTGTGTAAGCAAGACAATATTTAACACTGTGGCAGATCTGTAACCAGCAGGTGTTCTGAAAAACGGATCTGTCACTATTGTCAATAATAAGAATCACAACCCACTTTGAAGAGTTTCTGAGAAACTGCTTGCAAGCCGACAGAATTTTATTGAGACCCTCCCGCGTACCTAGTGCTTCCCAGTAGATAATTACCTGCAGTTCACCCTGTGGAATCCCAGGGCTGGCGGGATACAGCTGGGCCCTTCTCCCTGGAACATGCCCTCCAAATGAAGGTTTCCAATTTTCATCCCTATACTCTTTGCATTTCAGCACCTTGTGAAGTTGGGAGCTGTCGTGGAGAGCACTTCTTGAGGTGAATCCCACCCACAGCACAGGAGTCTCCTTAAGGAAGCTCCATCCCACCCACACCCTCCGGGTCCATTCAAGGCAGGTGCCCAGAGGCAGCTTATTTTCTCCAGGACACTCAGGGAGAAAAGGAAATCCACAGAGGCTGAGCAGGGCTGTCAGCCTCACCCCACGTTGGGTTCTGGGGGAGTGTGCAGCCTGACCACCAGTAGCAGCCCCAGACTCATTGCTCAGCAAAATCCCAAGGTGGGTGTAATAGTCTGCTCTGGCTGCCGCAACAAAATACTACAAACTGGGTGACTGCAACAACAAAAATTTATTTTCACAAGGTTCTGTAGGCTGGGGACTCCAAGGTCAAGGACTTTTGCAGCTTGGTCTCATGTTTGGCCTCCTCCTCACTAAGTCCTCCTGTGACCTTCCCATGATGTGTGTGCGGGTGTGTGTGTGTGTGTGTGCGGGGTGTGTGTGTGTGTGAGTGTGCGTGTGTGTGCAGAGACAGACAGTAAGTGCACTAGGGTCTCTCTGTAGAATGATATTAGTCCTATCACATCAGGGTCCACCCTTCATGGCCTCACTGAACCTTCATCGGCCTTAAAGGCTCAGGCTCCAAATGCAGTCACAATGGGAGTGGGGACTTCATCACATGAATTGGGGTGGAAGGAAGGACAATTCAGTGCATAGCAAGTAGTAAATATTTTGCTGCTGACTTTGACTTTCTAGGGACCCTGCTCCCCGGCCATCCAGATCACAGATGTCACTACCTTCAGATACTGAAAGATACATCTGGCCCCTCATCCTAACCTAAAGCAGCCAACTACCACTCCCAGTGTTACCAAAGAAGTGGGGGAGTGAGGACCCTTGCCATGAACTGCCACTGCTTTTAACATCACCAATGACATCAGAATCCCTGGACCTGACCATGGGTACAACCTAGAGCCTCTGAGAGGACAAGATATGGGGATGGATCCCCAAAACGGATTGATTGGGCCCCGAGAAAACTCACTCAGAAACTCCAGCATAAGGGCTCAGAGGCTCTGGGGGGGGCTGGGGGGAGGGCACAAAGTAGCCTGTTCTTCTTCTGCCACCTGGTGGTTAGTCAGTATGTTGACAAGTGCACAAAAGGAAACCTGGAGTTTGGGGATCTTAGAACCTGGCCTTTCTCCCTGGGAGTTTAGGGGTCTGACCAGGAACTAGGAAGAAACTCCTCACTTACCAGTCAAGTTTCCTCACGTGAGGATTAAACGTGTGCAGAGAAATGACAGTGTAGTGATTTGGGTCTTCGTTTCTATCCATTATCTTTTAAGTTGGCCATTTACACCAAGCCTGCTGTTTAGGACTTAAACCCAACCCACACAATGTAGCTAGCTGCAAGCCAAGCATGAACCATGGCTTTCACTTGTTCACTGGTTCGTGTTCCACACACTCCACTTTTTCTAATGGAGTGCAGTAGGAACAAGCCTCATTGGAGTGGAGTCACGGGAAGGAGATGTGGAGGACAGGGCAGGAGACCTTTTCACTTTGGGGAGGAGTTTCTGAGTCTCTGGCACAACTTGCCCAGAGACTCACAAGGTTTTGGTAAAAAGTTGTGTGTAAATCAGGTACTCACGTACTCGACCGCTCAGGGCTCTTGTGTGTCTGACTTGAACAAGACCCCATGAAGGACAGAGCTGTCTGGGACCGCTGGCACCCTCCTCTCTAGGCCATCCTATACAAGTGATGGCTTGGTCGGCAGCTCTAATGCTTTTAATGGTCTCCTTTTACAGCCAGTGGCCACCTGTTGATGGGTAGGGGTTCTGCATGTGAAATCCCATCTGCAGTGTCAGGGTCTTGGTAATATGCTTCCCAGCTCTTTCCCCAATCCTACCTCTAGTACTCTGGGTCTGTCTAGAATGCTGGTGTGACACTGACACTGAACAGAAGTGATGGCTGAGGTTTCCTCAGGTTTGCAGTTGATATGTATTCAGGGGTCAAATAAGTCTCCCTGCAGTTACCTCTGCCCTTTGAAGGGAAACCCGTCCATTACTCACAAATGACTCATTTTATACATGAGAAACACCCACGTCATCCATAAGGCTTGGCTGTGAAATGTGTGGAAAGCTACGTAGAGTAAAAGGACAATAGTGCTTCATGAAGTCATGTGACAACTAACACACAGTTTGCCTGGTGCTGAGGGATCTTGCAGGTCATAGGACTGGCAGTGAGAAATCTGGGGTGGTCTCAGACAAACTGGGACAGTGGATGGCCACCACAGAGGGGCAAAGGGACATGGTCACACATGGTGAACTACCCCTAGATGTCTGCACACCCTGTTCTCACAGTGGGGCCCCTCTGTGCTTTTCTTCTCAACCAGCAGAAACCTGGCTTGGGATGGCCTGCTGGGGAGGCCAGGGGAGATAAGCAAAGGAAGCAAAGACAGATTGGAGGGGTGGGAGTAAGGGATACAGGAACACGGGGAACGTCACATGGGAGAAATGTATCCAGTGCTTAGCAGAGTGTACTGGGAAGCAGAAGGGAGGAACAGTGGGGCAGAGGTAGAGGGGCTGGGGGTCAAGGAAGGGACGGGTCTTTGTTCTCCTTGTGCCCAACCAAGAGAGGAGCTTAGCAGGTCTCTCCAAGGGTTGGTCCCTCCAGGCACTTCGCACATGCCTGGAAGCATGATCTTCACTCCTTTTCTCCCACCTGCTGACCTGGTGAGTCTGATTTCCCTCCAACGTGCAGAGTACCTCTGAGGGGCTGGGCGTGGGGTGGTGTAGATCACTGCTGTGTGCCCCACACGTAGAACAGGGTCAGGGCAGCACACTGTTGTTGCTAAAGGAGGTAACAGGTACCAGTGATGGCAGGGACCTTTGGGATGAGGCTGTGGGTCTATATTTGCAGACCGTGAAACTTCCACGAAAAGACTCTG